AACACTTTTGGTGTTAATAAAATCAACAACAGGTGTGCTAGAGGAGCAACAATGAGACGGCCTCCAAAACAGGATTTGTTTTACAGGTGGAGGCCACTAACATTTTTTTCACCTCCTCGTGTTTTCTGACAGTATTTCCACTAGTCCGACCAGTTTTGCATTTGGCAAGGGTCAGTGTCACTACTGGTCGCATGAGGCCGTTCCTGGAGCCAACAGAAGTTGCACAGACAGTCCAACTCTTCCAGGACAGCAGATCAATGCGTGTTATTGCCCGAAGGTTTGGTGTGTCTCTCACCACGGTCTCAAGAGCATGAAGGAGATTCCAAAAGACAGGCAGTTACTCTAAGGGTGATGGACAGGGCCGTCGAAGGTCCTTAACCCATCAGCAGGACCAGCATCTGCTCCATGGTGCAAGGAGGAACAGGATGAGCACAGCCTGCCGGAAGCCTACAAAATGATCTCCACTCTCTGACCACACAATCAGAATCAGACTTCATGAGGGTGGCCTGAGAGTCCGACATAACTCTAGTGGGCCCTATGCTCACTCCCCGCCACAGTGGAGCTTGACTGGAATTTGCCAGAGACCACCAGCATTGGCAAAGATGAGAGCAGATTCACATGACAGACATGAATGGATCTGGAGAGGCCATGGAGAACGTTATGCTGCAGGTAACATCGTTCAGCAGGATTTGTTTGGTGGTGATTCAGTGATGGTTTTGTGAGGCATATCCATGGATGGACGCCCAGACCTCTACAGGCTAGACAACGGCACCCTGACGACCATTAGGTATGGGGAAGAAATCCTTGGACCCATTGTGAGACCCTACGCTGGTGCAATGGGTCCTGGGTTCCTCCTGATGCACAATGCCTGGCCTCATGTGGCAAGGGTATGCAGGCAGTACTTGGAGGATGAAGGAATTGGTACTATTGACTGGCCCCCATGCTCGCCTGACCTAAATCAAATAGAACACCTCTAGGACATAATGTTCCGGACCATCCGACGCCGCCAAGTTGCACCTCAGACCGTCCAGGAGCTCAGTGATACTCTGGTCCAGATATGGGAGGATATACCCCAGGAAAACATTCGTCGTCTCATCAGGAGCATGCCCAGACATTGTCGGGCATACATACCAAGCACACGAGGGCCACACAAAATACTGAGTACCATTTTGAGTTGCTGGAATGAAATTTGCCGCATATTTTTTTTTCCACTTTGTTTTTGAAGGTGTCTTTAAATTCAGCCTGCTCTAGGTTGATCGTTTTCAATTCCGTTAAATGTTGTAGCCTCCTTTCATTCCAAACTTACTATCCAGTCTACATCAGTGGAGATATACTGCATAATTTTTTTTCACCAGTGAGCTCTGGTGTGTTGTCAAAGTTCTCCTTTAAATTTTTGAGCAGACACGCACGCATGCCCAATGTGTGTGCGTGCGTGTGTGTGTGTGCGTGCGTGCGTGTGTGTGTGTGTGTGTGTGTGTGTGTGCAACCAAGATCAAATGTCAAACTCATTTCTACATTCAAATGCAACAAAATATCATGAAATATATGTCAAAAAACTACCTCCTCTGCCATCTGCAGCAAAGTCTGGTTGTTGCTCTCCCATTTAGTTCTCCACTGCGTTGTTTCTTTCTCCAGCTTCTTAATTTTCTTTGTCATCTGAAAAGTGAAAAGTGTTAGGCCTGCCGCACTCTGCACTACATTTGAAATGTCATCCATTGAAACCTTTATTTTGGAGTTACCCTTGAGATGAGTCATCTCATTTTAGAGGGGGCAGACATACAAATTCGAAAAGCACAACACATCTCTCCCCAGTCACCCAACCCTTCCCAACCAATCACATACAGAAGCAAACTTGCCCTTTCGGCGACACATTGGGACAGATCTGTCGACAAAAATGAATTTAAAGAGGGCTCCGTTTAAAAAATAAAAAAATTAAATTAATCTAATAAAATTGATTTTCCATTTCATAGCCCAATTTTAATTCCTAAAACCATAAATTGATCTATTTAATCCCCCCCCCACCAAGAATTCATGTGACTTCTCGCGTCAAGCGAGAACATGTCACTACACAAGAGTAGCATATCAAAACAACATGGCGGAAGCACCGAAATCTGCAACAAACAGCTTGAAGGCAGATTTCCCTAAGTTTTGGGGTTTTAAAAACACAAAGACAACAATAAACTGGATATGAGCAAACCGGTATGCATGATTTGCTACGGGGAAGTGAGGTATTCTGTTAACACAACAAATGTTCGAAACCATTTAAGTAGACGACACATGGTTCGAACGCAGTGTGCTTCAATCTGATAGACAGATGTCGCACAAGAAGCTGTGAATGGAATTGATTTAAAATGTATTATTGTGAACAGGTTATGTACTATAAAACATAAATGATTAATGTAACTGCATCAGATTAAATTATCAATGACAATATTCAGATTTTTACTAACACACCGGGCAAGAAATTTACATTTTTAATGTACTGCACTGAGCCGTTGGT